TAGACCTAAGCAGTAGTGGTATAGAGAGGATTCCAGATTACGTCAGAGGTCTACGTCGGCTACAAACTCTTATCATCGAAAACTGTACAAAACTCATGTCAGTGGAGGGTCTTCCCCCTTGTCTTAAGTCCCTACATGCAGACAACTGTGTTTCGCTTGAGAGAGTCCAATTGACAAGTGCTATCAAAGATCCAATCAGAGAACTCATGTTCAGTAACTGTTTGCGACTCGATGAGAAAGCAACAAAAGTAATCATAAGCCATAGGTTTGCCAAATATGTATGCTTATCCGGTAGACAAGTCCCCGCGGAGTTCACTCACAAAGCTACGTTAAACTCCATAACCATCCCTCTTGGGAATTCCTCTAGTGCTGCTTCCTCAAGATTCAAGGCTTGCCTCCTGCTATCGCCAGTCAAGAACAACGCGCTTCTTCATGTAATTTGTTATCTAAGAAGCGAAAAAGGAGTCCTCATCAACCACATGAACTATTTGTCGTTGACTTCAGATGAGCCTCCTCAAGTTGGAATGGAGCATCTCTTTATACTCCGTGGTGACTTGTTACATGAACAAATCAGAAACCTTGAAGTGGATTTGAATGCAAGAAAGATCCTGTTTGAATTCACATGTTCGGATAACCACAAGATTATCGAGTGTGGTGTACGGATCTTGAAGGAGGAAGGTGAGAAACGTGATGAAATCACTGAATGTTGGCTTCAAGACGATCAAATTAATATCGGAGACAACACAAACGACCATACAGAAGACCACAATGATGATGAACCTGAAGCTGTAGGCAACATCAGTAACCAAACAGACAAAGCTGAAGCTGTGGAGGTTGAGAATGTGGAAAGCACTAAACACACAGGCTTTTGTTACAGTGTCCTTAGGAAGCTTGGTCTAGGGAAGAAGAAGACAAAATCTCCACTCTGATTTCAAATTTCTTTGTTCTGCTATAATCTAGCTATGCCTATGCCACATTCATAACAGTCTTTCTGATGAAATCCAAAGCTGAAATGATTCAAGTCATAAATATATCAATAGTTAAAGTCACATCATTCCATCCAAAAGCTGATCTACATAATAAAGTTAAGAGGACATGTTGGGAGGTTAAATTGTGTCTAACCTGGAACAATCAGGTCCATTTAATGTCAGTCGCACTACAGGCGCAAATTTTGCTTTGTTGACTCAACGATCATATCAGTAAAGGGTTGGTTCATTGTGTCTCGATTACAAATTGAATCTGATTTCTGAACCTCATCAAGACCTTGCAAAATGCAATGTCTGAAGAAGAGAAGAGAATGATTTATTTTGAGGTCTGAGAGTTGAGGAAGACGATAGAGAGAAAAATGAAAAAAATGCCTTTTAGATTTTTAAGGCCCATTAAGCCCAAACATTACAATTGCAATTTTTTGTTTCTATTGGGTGGGGAGAAGGGGAAAAGGCGGTGTGTGTGTGGTGACTGATGATGGGAATGAAGAAAGAGGTACAAAAATGAGAGAGCCCGAGATGGTGTGAAGAAGATAACCGACGAACAGTTATGCCTACTCCTTGGTACTTTGTTGCTCTACTTCTCACCATTCTTACTAGCTCTCAGGTTCCATTTTTAACCCTAAATCCTCCTTTTTCGTCTTCTCTCGATTTCTGGAATCTCCGATGGTTTTTGGATCTGATTTGAGTTATCGGTGCTTGTATATTGTCTCCAAATCTATCTGGATCATGTCACTTAGAGTGTGATAATATTGTTTCCACTGTATCTAGCAATGTCATGAATGGATTCGTGAGATGCGATCTTCCAGTTGATTCTGGTGTTAATTTGCGAGAGTGTTTGATTGTT